AATGATGAATTGTTGAAGGATTTTGAAAACAGAAAAAATGATAGTCATGCTGGCCCAGCATCCTCAACGTTGAAAAATGCCCCAGCACGAAGTGGTTAAGGTGATGCAGAAGTAACCAGAAACCTATGTTAACCATGGTGGTAGACGCTGTTCATAATGGGACTACTCTCATTTTCCAAGCAGGAAAATGTTGGATAACTTTTTTCAAATATTTTGGTGTGAAAACAAAAACTGGGTAAGCCTTGTGGTAATTTTGTTCACATTTCTTGGGACACCACAATTAGGGGACACTGGAAATAACTATGCCTTGTTCAAATGGTTTAAGCTTACATCCACAGAGGAAAAGAAAAGCAAATACTAGAAATTCAGCTCATGAAGGTTCAAAAAATGCTGGAAGTACCCAACAACAGCTTCATACCTTGGATCATGCCTGATGTATCGAATGACCAGAACAAATGCTATTGCCCTGCAGTCTTTGTTGCATGATGTCATCTGATTGGATAATTCAGTCTGATGGGTAAATAACACAAAGGATATAAACATAAATACAAAACAAATTCACGGAGTGCACTTTTCATCAGACATACTGATTTGAAGTGATCTTTGACCACACGGCTCACCACAAAGTTCTGTAGGATTCCCACTGCACTGCTAGACTTCTCTTCCAGTTCATTCAATGCCTCAGCCATGCCTAGACAAAAACAAAACCGTACAGAGGTGGACATTACTACAAAGGATCACAGTTCCCCATTACCAAATTGGTACCAGACCATTGACTGTATGTAACAACATCCTGATGGGCTGACACACCGCCTGTATGTACTTTCTGAAATGCTTACAATGTGATGGAGCAAACCCATACAGCCTTCACATGGACACCACCTGGACTATGTGTCTATCCATCCTCTATCTTTGCCTACAATGGGAGTACTTGAGTACGAAGCCATATGAACTGAGTGCTGTGAAATGTACCTTCCGAGTCCTCCTCAAGAGCAAGTCTCTCAGCAAACAACTTCACATCTTCTACATCCCATGATGCATCAGCCCCCATCATGGCACTGAGTGAAGGGGAATATGTCTCCTCCCGATTGCCCATCCCCGGGATCTCATCAATGGTAGACTCCACCTGGGTAGGGGCACCGCCAGTTCCCGATTGGTCCTTAGAGGAGCTGGTCAGTGTGATGCTTGCCAATAGGGACTTGAGCTGCTGGATGTCTGGGTAAATCTGAGATAGATTGCTACAGGATGGAGACAGGAGAGGAGTATGACCAGCTAACTTGTAGTAACACTAGGGCAAATTAATCATTAAAAAACGACAACATAATTAATGTACACCTGAAACAAACTTTACAAACGATCCGAGTATGCCACATTCCACCTCATCACTTTTTGCAATCAGGGAGGTTGCATTCACTCGGTTGCTTTGTACAATAGATGGCTCAGTGTTTTACACTGTTGGGAAGGGTCTTCAAGATCATGTACCTGCATGTATCTATTACAAATGTACCACACAATCTGAAGAAAAACCAGAAGCCTGGAGTAAGGGCATCTTACTTGAGTGGGACTGAGTGTTTCTCCAGTAGCGGCTGTGCCTCAGTGGGGCTGTGGCTGGAATATTGGTACAGTAACTGGATAAACTTGGTGATGATAGGTTCAAGGGCCTTCTTGGCTATCAGAGCGTGCTATAAAAGGTCAAAGGTCAGACAGTAGTGCATTGATACAATACTACACTGGGATATAAAATGCATATTGATTAGCATTATTCTGACTTTTGTATTTGTTTAGATGAGGCCCTTTCCAGGTCTCACATTAGTGAATATAGATATTTGCATCAGTAATCAAACTATAGCTAAAGATCAACAACATGAGGTCCAGCCAAAGACCTTTCAAACACAACACATCCATTTAATTTGTCATACGACCTCAATCTGTAAAAGTCTTCCACTTATGCAAGGATGATTTGGGGAGATTTGGATGATTGAGGTAAACTTCACCTTCAGTTAGCAGCTCACATTATTTCTTTCCATATTTTATTGAAGTTTACCTTCATTTTACCAGGAAGACTGGAGTTGGTTGTACACAGAGGAGTGGCTCTGAATACTGTTGTGTGTCCTTTGAGCCAAATTGCCCACACTAATTCAAATACGAAATACTATGGGGTTGGAAATTTGTGGATTTCATGAAAGTTGTCATTTTGAGATTGGTTGTTAACCTCTTCGGACCGGAATTCTTTGACCGTGACTGCTGGGCTGTAGTATGCCCAATATTCAAAGCTCTGTCCAGCAGCAGGCCCCATTGAACCAGCAGCTGCATGGTGAATAGACTGTATGTGTGGTATGCACTAATCCTCACACATAGCCAACGGTTTCCGGTGCTAACGGGTTAACAGAACAGTGACTCCAAGACAGAATAATTGGCAATATTGTTGAATTTTGACCATCTCCATATTATTCAAATTTATTCTAATATTGAATACCTGTAAGATGGGAAAATATGTCTCTATGATGCTATGCAGGACCTTGGTAGGCTGATCAAAGAGCTGAGGCTCTAGGAGCTGAAGAATTCCCAGGATGTGGTTGAAGAAACGGAGATGCCCACGGGTACGGAACTCCTTGAGGTTCAGATGAGTTCGGCCTTGAAGTAAGACAGCCACCATGGGTAGTTGCCTTCAGAAAATAAAAATGAAATCATGAAAAAGGAATTTAAAGCTTGTATTTTCCTTTATTTAAAAGCTTTTGTCACGAAAAATTCACATCAATATTTTTGATAATGGACTTGTCTCATGGCGTTGTATTGCTTAATTTCATGTTTTCTTTTTACCAAAGGGTCAAATTGCACATAAGAAAGGAATTTCACAGAAGTGTGAATCACTAAGTGTTTGTCTCAACGAGGCACCTCTGCAACTTCACAGCTAAAGCTCACAAGGTTGATCTCATATTTTATTACCTGTTCTTCGTTGTACACGTTTACATAAAACAAATGCACTTGGCGGACTTAATAGGATAAAAAGTACCGAGCCTTTCACACAAAGAATATTGTGCGGCAAACAGATGTAAGCATCGTTCCATAAACAAGCAACTTAAAATTAGTTCCAGTAAGGTGACCTCTTCATGCTACATTAGACAGTCATCCAACTTAGTGGAGACATCTTAATATAGGCTGGCTAACCAGGTTGATGAATTCTTTCATCCTACCTGAGTATAAGTACAGGATGTTCTGCAGCCAGTTTGCGGCAAGCTACATTAGCATCATCAGCCTTTTGCTTGCTGATATCCCCTGGCTTGCTGTCCGCTAACACACTCAGTAATCTGGGTAGTATGGTCCACACATAGCACTGTTATTTTCACATATGGTTATTAAATCTTAATAAGAAAAGGACTGCAATTTAAGAGTCAGAGTTTGGTTGAGTCATTCCTCCATCTCATTGAGTCAAGTTAAGTCAATAAAAACCCGTGTTGATTCAAGTCTGGTAACTTGCTTAATTTCATTCTGAGGACACTAACCTATGAGTAAGGCAGTCAACAGGTGTGGGTATGTGACTAGTGTCTTGTGACTGTAGCTTGGAGCTGATGAAGGACAGGTTCTGTATAGTCTCAGGAACTTGAAGGTAGAGCTCCAATAACAGCTGCTGGTACAAGGCACAAGACGGGCTGAAAGACAAACATAACACTCAAGAGTCACTCACAGGACTGATTTGGTCTAACAAACGGACTGGTTTGGTAAACAAATATACATATTACTAGAGAGACCTCAAACAGATTTTTTTATGAGTGGAAGATAAAGTCATTGAACCCTAGTACCTCCCTAGGTACATGTACTTCCTGAACTCTTCCAATTCCTCCACTTAGCAGCAAACTAACCATACATTCTTTGACCTTCAGGTTTCAAAGAGTATCAAGCCTCATGTACAGCGCACTGTGACTGGGTTCTATATTTCTCAGTCTTGGAATATCCTCCAAATCCTCCAAACACAGCAGTTCACATAGAAATCATGAACTCTTTGGTAATGACAATGGCTTTCAGCAGGTTAATAATTTACCCCAGAAGATGCCTGACTCATTGTCATCTCTTGCTCTACTAATTATGGAAGAAAATATCTGCACCAAAAGATGGCAAATTGAGTGGGCTACAATGGATTTTTGGCTTGAGTACAAATGTGCCTCCTATAATATGCTTCAAGGAGAACATGGAGAGGAGGAAACTAGATCACAAATACAAACTGCCTGTTGACAATGCTACACCACTCGTACAGTGTTCTAAATGAAAAACCATTAACCTTGTTTCCCGACTGCAGTCACCAAGGTATTTGATGAGATGCTCCACCACTCCTCGATTGCTATGAAAACCATTTAGGAGCAAGGCCAGTCGAGCCTTGATGGTAATAGAAGCAACCTCTGTCAGTCCCTCATCAGCATCTGACATGGCATGGTAACCTTGGGATGAATCAGCTGCTTCTTGGATAATGTAGTCAGCCAAGGCACAGGTCTGGTCAGGAGACAGATGCAAGACATCCTCTTCTGAGTGACGCTGTATCAAACCACCAAATATAAGCAATTCACTTCTCCTGAAAATCTATCTTTGCAAGTGGTAAAAAAAAATGTCTAAAATGTAAAAAATTATCACAAATATGCGCCCACACACAGTTTCAGCTGAGTAGTGATATTGTGATAGTGATGCAATAAAATTACAGTCTAAAATGCATATGTCTCAAGGTTAAATGTTACTTCACTACATAATTAAAGCTTTCAGCTAAAAAAATTAATTTACTATGTCACAGAAATTTGTCGGGACCTTGGAGTGTGCCTTCACCATAGGAAGATTTGCCTGTAAGGTTACTGGGGGTTGACCATCATATATGGTGACATGTATTTTAGAGGCAGGCATGCAACTTCGACTTTGACCCAAAAAACTGAGAAAGTCTGATCTGTACAAGACCAAACGTGAAGTGAAAAATGAGGAAAATCAGCTGAGCTGAGGAAAACCTACATGCCATAGAGGGTGCATTTTAGTTTGCCTACCTTTGAAGCCCTAGTATCTCGCCCTTGCCATATCTTTGGTATGTGGATGCATGCCCACAGGAAGTCCAACACAGCTGTTGCACTAAAACTGAAATCAAATAATATCAAGCTAAAAAAACCCTCCACAGAACATTGCGGCAACACGAGGTGTGGATGGCATTGATGCATTTATGCAAAACTGGCCGAGTGAAAACGATTACTTTTCCCCAGGCGTCCTTGATTATTCAGCTCCTTAAGAGCATCCTTTGTAGAAATGCTATCGGTACTAAGGAAGGCTGAGAAGCAAGCCATTACAATTTACTGGTTTACATGTACAATATCCAATAGGTAGGCTGATTTTTGCCTTTCTGCAACACAGGAGGCAGGTTACTTTGAAAATAAAGACAAATTATCACCCTACACATATTTTGAAACAAATTTGCCAATTATCTTAAATTTAAATTATTACTTTGTAATGCATGAAAATATGTAACAAAATATTGTCATTTTTTTATACCCCAGAGAAACTACAACTGATCATTGAAATCAACCTTGTATGAAAGATTGGTCTTTCAAAGAACTTGATCCAAAAGTATGAAAATGTCATCATTACAAAACTGTTTGTAGATCGTGGCACAAACAGTTTGAATTACTCACCTATATGACTTTCTTGCAAACCCAAGCAGTTTATCAATACATCTGTGCAGCGTTTTCCAGTTAGCTTGGTGGGTAAGTAATGCCAGCAGGTATGCACTCCCTATTCGCTTCTGGCAATCTCCCTCACTGCCCATTGGACTCTTCCCATTCCCAAGGGGAACCTTAGCAAACATGGCTTGCTGCTGCAACTCTGGGCAAGCCTGGCATGCCTCTGGATCTAGAAGAGCCAGCCAGTCTGTCAGGAGGCCAGCTGTGGAGGACAGGAGCTGTGGATGGCTATTGTCAAGAAGTTGGTCATTGGGAAAAAAATATAGTTTAAGTCTGTATGATAATTTACATGTATATCTGAAACTTAATCTAGCTCTTGCAACCCTAACCCAACCAAGTTTGTTCTGAAAGGAAGAAAACTAGGTAAAATATTAAGGTTGCTATGCATTAGAAGTGAAAAGACATAATAATAAACATAATAGCATTGAGCACAGAACTGGAAAGTTTGAACAAAGCCCCATTATCTTCCACACATGGGCCCCTGGCTGTCTGAGAATGCCCAGCATGATGCTAACTGTATGACGTTTGACCCTGTTAAAATGACAAGCAAGGTAGAATCTCCAAAATAAACAGCAACCAATATAAGTTTATAATCGTTGAGTGCATTGCCTGTGAATGCAGTCAGTGTGATATGAGGCTAGCTCTCCAGTCTAAGGAATGACAAGAAAGACATTAGATAAACAGGACATTCCCAATAACCTACTAAGTAGTCTGGGTGCCAGACACTGATGAGTGCTTTTCCTGTTGATGGATTAACAGCCTGCTCAGCATTCCAACTCGTTGGTTGGCCTGCGAGGGTACTCTCCTGCCATGGCTGGCTGTTAAGCTAGTTGTCAGTAACTGCTCTAACTGGCTGGGGTTGCTGTCCAGAAGCTGCTTACATGCTGCAGGGTAAGTTTGAAAAAGATTGCACTATGAGCATAATAAAAATTCAAGCACCTTAAATGTTTTACCTATGACCTTAAGCTTCACAGCTAACTCAACTAGTTTAAAATGCACCAAGACTATGTTGGATCCAATAATACCCAAGGCCAATTAGCCCTGTGAATTAGTACCGTAACTAGGTATCAAGACAGAGGTGGGCTGACATTTCAACATCACTGTTGCTGATCATGCAATATCCATTGACTCTGCAAGGCTGTATGCCCAAAGATGAAATTGGGTCTTGTGCTCTGCACTACATGTATATGCTTAGGAACCAGTGCACAGACGAGTCAGGAAGCCATTGCTAATAAATATAGCACCATTTCTTATTCACAGATGGAGTCAGTGAGGTAGATACATGTGTAAGGCAATGTCTAATAGCTGGATAGCTGGGGAATACTGAAAGGATATGGATTAACACTTTCTAGTATAAGAAACTATTAACTAATATTCCCAAGCAGACTATACACTGCGTGTAAATAACGTTAGAGAAAGCCCACATTCCAAAGCAAAATGAATATGTCCTGTGACAAAAAAACAAACATTCCATAAAAAATCATTGTAATCAGTTCATGCTGCTGTATCATATTCAACTGGCCAGTCATTTCTAAAGAAGTTCACCGATGAGAGGTTAGACCTAGGCATCCGTAGACATGAGATTTCTCATTTCATACCCCAAAGAAACGTAAAGCTGAACTGGTCCTTCTTCCATGTTCTGGCAAAGCACTGGTTTTTTGTTAGTGAAACACAAAATAATTTCTACCTTGCTCTAGCAGTTTCTCATCAGCTGAGGTCTGTCCATGTTTGAATGCCCTCATGACCTTTTCAATGGATTCTTCTTGTGTATCTCTGCTCATCTCCTTCAGGACTTGATTGACTATAAAGAAAACAGAAATAAAATGTCAACCTCAAAAGGAGTAAACTCTTGGTTTCTTAGTCTTAAATTCAAAGACTGCGATTCTAAATGTCTATTATTTTCCTCAATCTGCACAAAATCGGGCATTTCAAAGTGACCGCATGGTGAATTTGTCAACTTTCAAACTCTGAACAAACTCTTCTTCAATAATTAAAGTGTCAAAATGTAACTGGATCCCAAGAATGGAATCTAATATGGGTATCTCTTCACTTGTCATCAGTTTGCAAAATGTGCATCGAATATGCTTTTGATTTCTGCACTGTGGAGGATATTGTTGCATTCAAGAAAAATCTCAGGCAATATTGAATGGAGTGATGGTTAATGATCTCACCACTGACATCTGCAGAGGTCTCATCAAGTTCCTTCTGGCAATGGGTCAGTGTTTGAGTCCAGATGCCTCCCTTAGTAGGTAGCACCTCACACAGGTATTGAACCAACTCAGGGAATGTTGAAGAAGGCCCATACTTCTTCTGAAGCTTCTAATGTAAAGGACAACATGCAAACAAACACAAAAGTAAATAAAATCCAGTTGATCTACAATTTGAACTTCATGTCCAAATTAAACAGGGCAATGTGTAACTTGAGTGAAGGAATACAGATTTGGCTGGTCCTTGAGTGCTGCACCAGTGAATCAATGCATGGCTACCAGGACATTTGTTGCCTAAAAATGACAGCTGTATGCACACTGTTTCCCATTCCCTTCTTACAACTCAGATTGAAAGGAACAGATGGAAACCAGTCATTGTTGTTGCCTGGATGGTTTGTATTTCAAAATTAATAAATTTAGAGAGAAAACCTCTGTTATTTTAGAGCACCTAGATGGGCAGTAAAAACATGGACGCAATCTTGCTTTTGCAACAAGTGAGTTCCTGAGTACTGTACTCATTCAAAAGGACAGTGCCCTCATTAAACGACCAGGTGCACATTGCTACCCCTAGACAGCCAGTGCATTAAGAACTTACAGAGCTCAAAGACACATGTAACTGGATCAGTCTTGTAGTCAAGACCTTTTCCACGTCTAACAAATATATATAAATATATATATATACATGTACAGTGTTGTACACTAGGAATCAATCCTGAAAATAATGTACAAAACAGTGTCCTGGAAATGTCACAGTGTTTGCAAAGGACTTGGCCTAAAGAAAGACTTGACAACACTAGACTGGATTCCTACTTCTCACCTCTCTCGTCAATAGTAGCCTAAGCAATGAACAGCTGGTATTTGCCTGTGTGGCGAGCTGACTAGGTCGCAACTTGCCATCTCTCAACATGCTTAGCATGGCCTTGGGTAACCTCTCTGAAGGTCTATGCAAGGGATCTGTTCTTAGTCTCTGAATGTCCTTCAATAACTCCTAGAGGAATAAACATGCAAATAAACAAGTGAGCCATGAACAACTTTGATAATGAAACTCTTTAACAAATGAAAGAAATGTATAACATAGCTTATGTACCACAGGTTTATTATTATTATTATTTTTTGCTAAAACAACTCATTTCCTGCACAACATAAAGCAAGTCCTAGGTCAATAGGGAACAGCAATACAAGCATGCAACATCTATCTCATCAACAAAGCCGTACCTGTGCTTTTTTCTCAAATAAGCTTGCCTTTTTGGAATACCAAATAGGCTTATTCTGAAGTATTCAGTCTCTGTTCTTTTTTTCCATGCTGGACTTGGTCAGTCCCATTATTTAACCCTTTCGCGCCAGGACGCGGCTAGAGCTGCTGTAAAAATTGAGATCCTCAGCCCGCTTTTCAGCTTTTTTCTTGACCCACGCTCGAGCAAACACGGTGAAAGAAGGCAGACCCTGGCTCTTGTATATATAGTGTTTGGCCTTTGTGTGTAGCCCAGAAATGAAAAGACCAAATTTGCATCATAATCACCAACCTCACAATAGTCCCCACTTTCAAAAAAGGCAATGGGAATGTGGAAGCGTGAGTAGAGCCGCATACCACCGAACAATCAGCCTTTTCACTGTGTAATTCAAAGCGTGCAGAGCACGCAGGAACACAAACCGAAAATTTTGGCAGGTGGCCTCCATGGCCAAGTGAGGCTGGAATTCTTTGAGTCGGCTTTCAGAAAGAAATTCCCGTCGTCAAGGGGTTAATCTCTCTCCACCTTTTATTCTGATATTGTCATCATGAACTTTTCTTTTTGCTTGTATGCTTGTTTCGGACCATCTTTCTTTATTTTATTTATCGGTCTTTTTGTCTGGCAATGTTTGTATTATCTTTTCCATCATATCCTTTCTGTTTGACTATTGCATGTAGGCTGCTCTCCTTAAGTCTGTGCTTATCTTGCAAGTGTGTGTTAATTCTGATTTTACTTCTTTTTCAAAATTGTTTATGCTGGTAAATTTCTCCTGGAAGAAAACAAATGTAACAGTAACTGATTTCAGATTGATTTTATAAAATGTAAACTGAATGCATCTATTAATGATAACATCAATGTGAATATTTGTCACATTTACACCAAATTTTAAGAACCAACCCGAGACTTTTCAGTCCAGTGATTCCCCACTCTCCCTTACCTGTTGTATGGCTGAAAATACTTGTTTGGATTCACGTGGTGGTTCATCTGTAAATATCTGAAAATTAAACCAACAAAAAATGGTTGTAAGAAGTTTAACAACTCTTCATAGGCTGTGGAGTTTAGTTTTGCAAAACAACAAGGTCCCAATATTTGGGCCCTCAAATTTTTCCCCTTTTCTTTATTTTAAAATTTTATTTTAAGGTACGAAAAGCTGAAGGAAGCACAAGAAATGTGTACTGCAGACCAGTGGGTCTCTGTTAGTGTCTTTGCTAAAATACTGGGGCTATGTAGACCCTTCCTCTAAGGGGCTTACCAGTAAGACCTTACCATTCTTCCGAGTAAAGTCCGCTTTTTTCATGGCATGTCTGCCGTTGCTAAGGGGCCGGAAAATTCGCAAACTGCACGCCCATGCGGACTCGATTGCGCAACGTGTTAATGAGCTGGCCCTGCCGGGCGCTATTGTTGCAGAGAAGCTATGTCACGAGACACAGAGACATTTACATACTGCATTCTTTCTGCGGACTGGACGATGTTGGAAACACACTCGACTCAAGAGATACATTTACATATTGCGTTCTTTCCGCACACCAGGCGAGGTTGGAATAAAATGATCAACTCGGAGAAACATTCACACAATACGTTCTTTCCAAAGATTATAATACAGTCAACCCTTGTTATTACAAAATCGGCCATAACAAAATTCCAGTTATAAGAAATGCAAGTCTGTGGTCCTGGCGAAAACATTCCCCTTTTCTATGAGGAAAAAATCTGTTACAAGGAAATCGCAATGTACGATATTCCTGTTACAACAGAAGGTTTTCATGACTCCACTGCTTGAAAAACCATTGTTGACGACCCATTTGTAATGAGCGTTTACAAATCATGATGGTGAAAACATGTGCACAGTGCATCGCCTTGGTTCCCGCCGGGCCGAACCATTGCAAAAGAAGGCGTGAGGGAAATGCGGCAACCAGCCAATGTACAGTTCCTGCCAAAAAGGAATGCTCCACTACATGTACATGAACGTTGTATACGAATGCAGCTTTGCAGTTGCAAGTCAAAAAAACACCGCCCTCATGAATTTTTCTGCAGGTTCATTCACAAAAATCGATCTCATGTCTACGTTTTTGTTTTCTGTGTTCATTATTTAATTTGAAGATGTACTGCTCGTACACAAAACGAGCGGTTTCCACAAAATTCCCAGCCACAGTACGTCCCTCCAGATGCATCACGCACGCTTACCAGGCACCTAACAGTTTATAATTCAGCCTTTCGATGGTGGAGTAATTACGGGAAACAATTTGGAATCACACACACAAAATTAAACACTGATTTGTAAAATAAAATTTCTGACAAATAAAGAAACTCTATCACAGTGTGTACATTCATTGGGCATGGTGCAATTGCCAGTGTGTGGCTGCTCAGAACAGGTGATCAGGAGTGCATGTTGTGCACAAGTGGCGCAGCGCTAAATACTCTGCAGCGCCTGGTGGGTACTGTGTAGTTGCCGGTACGTACATTCGCCTAGTTGCACCGGCCTACTATCATCACTGAACCTGTACAAATCATTATGTCAGGAGTTCCGAACTCAGAGTAGCATAATAGCCGACGATTATAATGAACATGCCATTCCATCGAGGATTAGCCAGACTCTCCAGTAAACATCAGCCGTTCCAATCACAGACTTTCCAGTTGACATTGATATTTAAATGACCTGCCCTAAATTTTTGTGGGGCATTCTGAACAGAGAGTGAATGAAATATTCATGTTTGCAGATTAACATACACCGTTCTTGCCGCATATGGTCGTCATCGTCAAGTGCTCTTCCCTTCCGCAGACTTCCCCCGGGAAGAAAGGTCAGGCCTTACTTGTAAACCCCTTAACCCCTTCAAAATTTGGGGAGCGTGAAAAGTTGTAACGTTCGTGCACCCACTAGAATGCTCCTTTGGGGATAACTGCATGTGCCTGTTTGGAGCATTGCGTGTTCCCCAGTGGCAGTGTAAGTGCACAGACCACTGTTCCAACTCAATGTCTCACACTGTTCCCATAAGGTTCCCAATAGAAACAGCAGGTGTTTTCAATAGGAACAGGCCATGCTCTCTTTGGACCATTCTATGGCTTTCAAATCTTTGAGACACTCTCTTGACATTCTCTCCCCTAAGAATCAGTACACTACATAGACTCCACATCTTGCAAGCCATCCTACCTTGTTGAGCATCTTGCACCATTCTTCCTGGTTCTCCTCATCAGGTAGTCTCACCACCTGCTCAGAAGTGTCCATCTTTTCCACAGGTTCCTCCTTCTTACTTTCAACCTTGTCTGGAGTACCACAGAACATGTAGACGTAAAATTTCATGATGCTTATAAGTAGTTAAACTAAATACTACTATTTTGAAAATTTTTCTTGCGTGTTGAAAAAAAGTTTGAGTGTGATAACTGGACAGCCTGTTTTTTAGATGTTTCAGGGTTCTCCCCAAGTAACAAGTTGTGTAACAGCCCAATATGCACAATTTTTTCCAAATCTTTGCCAATACGAAGAAAAAATGCCAGATACCCATTTTTTGGCCCACCGACATGCATGTTATTGGGCCTACCCTTGTACAGCCAATAGTAGAAATTGAAATGTGCTGTTGTGCACATGTAGTGCTCATGGATTGTTTTGTGTACAAAATGTGGCTCATTTACTCCCTAATGAAACAAAGTGCCGAAAGTTCGGTAAAACACATGAAGATTTCTGGGGGTTTCATCTGTTCAAAGTGGCATTTTGAAGGTTTTCTGTTACATTTACTAGAAACTAGGTTTCATTTTTAAAGCAACTGGATCAGGAGCACCTTAGAAAGAGTGAGATTTAGATTGTGAGTGTGGGTACATTTGCCCGCAAAGCCTAGCGATGAAGTGCACCGTGATTTTCCGAATGGTCATCACCGGGCCTCGCATTTGCAGCGGTGGGTCAACACAGCAATCTGTGTGTGGTAGTTTAGCATGTGCTGTGGGCTGTACATGGGCAGGTACTGACTGCCTTTAGTGATTTTCTCCATGGTTTTCATGTGTTCATGGTTAGCACTAAGCATTTTTTTCCCCAAGAAATAACATGTACACGTATATTTGTCGAGAATCTTTGTAACATATTTCCTTACAATTACAATTTTAAAAGGTAAACCTACATTCAAACACATACAAGTATGTGGTTTGAGAGATTATTTGGCAGTTATGCAACTACTTACGGTACATTTGTGAACTTGTGTGCCCTGCATGTAAGCCTGACATGCCTGATCTTCATACTTGTTTTTTCTTATATTTAAAAAATTGAGAACTTATGGAAATTGTATTCTTTAAGCTTAGGCACAATTTAAATTGACTGGCCAGTAGAACATGATACAGCAGCATGAACTAATTACAGTAACTTTCCTCATGCTCAAAATTTTTTAATTTTTCTCACCGTTTGTTCATAATTGAGACAGGGGCATTAGTTAATTTAAAATGAGTTTCTCCAACACTACACACTCTTCACTAAAAACATGATTATTTTGTTAAATTCACATGCATAATGAAATAAAACACTCCATGCACATGAATCAGCCATACCATTACAATGCATAATATGCACTGATGAGGCATATGAAACTTGCTGAATATTCTTGCTGTCATATCAATTCACTCTGTGACCATTGATAAGGTTATTTATGTTGAGAGCCCGTGGCAAAGATGGTTTTTTACAAAAATCCTGTGGGACTCTTTCCTTTAAACGGGTTCTACTGGTTTTGTGGGACACTTAAAAAGTTTCTAGAGAAGTACTATGGCAAAGGTGAGGTGGGCTAAAAGGGGCTGAATATCTTTATTCTGACCTTTGTCTTTGTCAGAGGATTCTTCCACCCCCTTGGTTAGCAGCTTGTGGAACTCCACCCCTCCTGATGCCCCTCTCATCTGCTGGACTTCAACCAGTTGAGCCATGTAGGCTTTGTCTACTACAGCATGCTCCAAGGCTTGTGGTTCCTGCTTGACAGCTGAGTCTAGGTGAGCTAAAAGCTGACTGAGAAGCAGACAGACAGACAGACAGACATCAGAACAATCAAGCAAATCTTGGTTTACTGCATGCCATGCAAGCTCGATAAGGCAGGGGTAAGGGGAGAATTCATTTTTTAACCGGTGGTAACTCGGGGTTGAACCTCGGGGTAACTCAGGGTTTGACACCATGCATAAATAAAATACACTTATGAACATTCGGGTCAACTTCAGCTTAGACTTCCCAAGGTTGTTTGCAACAAAAGGGGGAAAGCATCTCGAACAAAAGGCTACTTTTGCAGTATAATCCAAGGATTAAAGGATTAGTGGTATCTCGTCAGTGTTGATAAACACTACCTTTGGGGACTCAGTCGTGTAGGTTTTGAAATTTTTGTGATACCTGTGGATATTTTTATTACATTGGATATCTCCTGCTTTTGCTGATTCATTTCATTTTTTTGAAATCGGTAAAAGAACAGCTGAGATCGACTTTTTTGGTGGAGAGTTTCAGACCAAGTGGCCTACAGTACACGTATTGTGTGCTACCCTGGTCTGACGCGCGCAAACAAAAGGTGTGATGCACTGAGGCAGGGCACAGCAGGGCATGTAGATTTCATTCTTCAAATGTTGCCATATGAGCCAACCAGAGAATGCGCGGCAAGGACGTCTTTTAGCGTGAAAATCAATGTATAAGTTGCGGCTTATATTCCAAAAATTATGGTACTCATTGGCTTTGCATGCTTGGGTCTCTGGACCAAGTCGATCTGCATTCATTGTACCAAACGGCAAGTACATACAGGCCTGCACGCAGTTATAACAATTCATGTGCATGGGCAAGGTTACAGGGGAAGTCATAGTTAGTATAAAAAGTCTCTCGATAATTATCAATTATTCAAAAGCAGTATATACATTAACTATCCCCGGTCATACAGGTTACACTGTGGACATGTACGTATTTTGAGTGTTCCTCCCCAAAAAGTTCTTTTCAAGTGGCCTTTGAAGTCCCTGTGGACACTGTGGATTAACAGGAGATTAGGGCGCAAGCAAGCATTTTTACTGAAAGTGTTTGTAGCCAGATGAGGCGTCCAGGTTGTGACGACCATTGAGTTTGGTGTGCATTGACCCAAAGAAAACCGTGAGGTATCCCGAGGTCAACCTCGAGTTACCATTGGTTAAAAAATAAATTCTCCCGTAAGATACGATGATATTGAAACATCCATAAAATAATCATCAGACGTTTTAAGGGCCCCAAAGTTGGACAGGATCTATGTTACATATTTGTGTTTGCCTGAGAACACCCCTTAAATACCCATTCCTTGTGTTCTGTATGAACTTTTATATGTAAAAACACCTTCATTGTAAAAATGGGGTTTTCCAGATTTCAAAAGAGACTGTTTGAAAAATTCTGAAATTGGGAAAATTCTGATACAAAAATACTAAAAGAAGGAATAAATCCTAACAAATCTCACCCCTGATAAAGATGAGCACAATTTGGACATTGCACAAATGAGATCATAACATATGTACATAATGGTGTGCCTTTTAATATTTTTATTAGTTGTGAATTTATTTTAGCTAAGAACAGTACAAGGTAACTCACAACTCCCTAAGCATTTCTTCGAGGGGCATTTTTTGAACAATAAATTCACTAGAATCCCACAGGAAAAACATCTCATATTCTTTGCACTTTCATTTAAAAGTAGCTAGGCTGTGCCTCCCTCAATCATGCAAATATTTTCCCAACCTCACTGAATTGTGGGGAAAAAGAAGCAAAGGAACCGAATTTTTAATTTTAATAAATATTCACTTTCTACCATAAAAAAGGACAACAGATTGTATATAAAGTGACAAAAACAAGCAAATTAAGTTATTTAATTGTTACTTCAAAGTTTTTTGGACTATCCACGAATACAAAAATCAAAATAACAAGGAAAAAATTATTTCAATTGAATCATTGACACTTTAAAGTAACAGTGTAGGCCACAATATCTTTGATATTTCACAGAGATGTCAAATTTTTTGATGTGTTAATTTCGTTATTGATACGTTATTGATAAATGAAAAAGCGCTATTTGTTGTTTCTAACAAGGTTACCTCATGCTGGCTGTTGGAATGCCAAAAGACTGGATGAAGAGAACGAGCTGTGCTGGTTCCAGATCCTGCAATGCTGGAAAAACAAGAACCAATCTATCAATGAAAGGGACTCTGGGTAAAACTACAGGGTAAATAGCTAAAATCATCATCATCATCCATTGTGTCACCCTGAAGTCAACTTCTGGTCACACACACCCCAGATAAATTGCCATTGCTGCTGATCTGGCATTTCAAAATGGTTTGTAAGAATGAAACTTTTGTGTTTTTTGCTTTGTTAGACCAAAGTCAATGTTATATTATATGGGGAGTCAGGTTGGCGAGGTACTTCTTTCCTCGCCTTCCACCTCTGTGATCCCAGGTTCAATTTCAGCCCGGTCCACATTGCGATTGGGTTTTCAGTCCCTACCTGACTCCGTGGGTTTTACCCAGAATATTCCTCTGGGGTTTTCCTCCGGCCTCTAAAACTGTAATTGCTTCTTACTGTCTCCTTTTACTGATGTGGGTGAATCAGATGTAGCAGTGGGTACCGCGAACAACTATTTCAAAGATAGATTTGTGCCGGGGAGATGGAATTAATTCTGGATTTTTGCCCTGCCCAATGTGTATATTTTAACACTGTATACTCAGTGCATGCCCCCGGAGGCTTGTGAAAAAAAAACCAAAAGCGTACTCGGGTGGGACTTGTGGTTAGAGGCAAGTGGCTTGCCCCAGGGACACAACATATGGCCAGCTGCTGAATTTGAATCCCCTTACCCTCTAATCATGACTCCAAACCTTGAAGGGGATGGGCTTTAAAATAGTTGTTCACGGTTCCCGCTCTTACATTTGACTTGAACCAGCCAGCCGACACTGGCAAGCTCGGTGGTCAAGTGGTTAAGCCGTCTGCACTAGTAAGCTGGAGTTCGAGGGTTCGAGTCCCACCCAAGTACACTTGTGGGTTTTCTCACAAGTCTTCAATGCCAAACACCGAGTATACAGTGTTGTAATACATGTTGGACAGGGAAACATCCAAAATTAATAAGTGTTTTGTTGTTGATCCTCCGGGTCGCCACCATGCCCATGGTCAACAGCCTCGAGTTGCAAAATCTCTTCTCTGAGTGTATTCTGGTTCGAACTGATACATGTGATAAGGCAATATTTCTTGTGTCTCATCAGCTCTTTCAATGTCGCTTTCTTCGTCTAATGAATAAGACGAACATGACAACTGATTGCTGTCATGATCGGAAAAAGCATCAACACTGGAATTATTGTCGCTTGAGTCTGACATGATGGCACACACTGACGCTACTGCATTACATATATGTCAACGCATCGTTGCATAACTGTAAACAGTCGCCAGATAAAGGACTCCGTCCTATGATGTCACGTTTCTTGGGAATTTCTTAAGAAAACTTTTGGTACCCAACTGCTGTTGTTTAGCTTTTGCTCTCAGAAGGGAGTGAAATCGGGTCGTGAAAACTATAATTTTTGACAGATTTCCATGCATTTTGAAATTATGCAGATGTGTTTTCTTGTTACATGTATGCTTATTTTACATGTTTGTTGATGCATTTTACAAGAAATCTTCCAAGCACGGCTCATCCCTTTAAGCACTTGCCCACATTCCATTACGCATATGGTGCTAACAAAGTGCTCCAATTAACATCCATTTGAAATTTCTTAATGATTAACAGTCAACAAGCTCACCAACCTGCTAGGACAAGTTCTGGCACGCTGGATCGGATCATCCTGAGCTTAAGCCAATCAGGGAGGAGCAAAGCATCCTCTGAGGTGTCTACCAGGTACGCCTGGGGAGGGGAACTATTCTCAGGGAACCAGGAATGAAGTAGAAGCTGGAAATCACTCTCAACTGTAACAAGAAAAGTATGGAAGAACTTAATTATATCACAGAAGCAAACTACCAGCATACGGTTACTGGCACTTCTGCTTTCTAGAAAACCATTCCTAAATTCTTGGATATTAAGGAGATAACTTGGTTTGAATTTTTGTAATGGATATTCACTGAAAACCAGGTAAAAAGACTCAAAGTTAAGGGCTGTATGATTCAATATCTAGAAAGAAAAAACTCATCTGCAAATGCCCATATCTGTAGTGCTTTTGAATGGACATAAAGTGGCATCAGTACAATTGAAGTATTGGTTGACCTGTCAACAAGTGTGCAATTCATTAGCAAACTTGAACCACCATACACGTTGATGCCATTGAAGCATCTTGACATTGAGCTTGAAAATGACAAGGTAATTTACTACTGGCAAGACAAGCACACAAAAAAAGGTAAAGATACAATATGATTTCATCCAGTAAAAAAGTTGTACCTTTGGGTTGTCCATAAGTTAGAAGAATGACCATGGCATGAACAATCAAGATATGCATTGTAGCTGATTCTCCAGTTTGCCAGTACAGGAAAACTTGATCCTGGGTGTCAGACTGTATGTATAAAAAGAAACAGTTGATAACTAACTGAGAGAACGTCAGACTAATACTCCTGGATGGTTTTGGGTAAGGTCAAGAATGACCACTATGATGAAACTTAGAAGAGTGTCTGAATAATTAACTGTTAACAACAAGGTCTTTTGGAAATTCTGGAAAAGTTGATCAGAAAAGTTTTGAATGATCAGATTTCATTTAATTTCAAAGAGAAGGAGACAACACAAGCACTCATACTGATCAAGGAATGTTGCGTGGCTTACCCAGCTATATCCTTCTTCATTAGGCTTGGTAGCTTTGATCAGATAGCGGCTGAATATCTTGATCATGGCTGCTAGGGTAACATCTGCTACTTCATAATATTTTTCATGAGGTAGGATGCAGGACACAATGGTCGGTCTCTCCACAATCAGCTGGGCAAGATCCTATTGTTATGTGTAAAATTTAGTGAACAAAATCTTCATGGTTTTTGCTTAGCTTTTCAGATATGCTAATGCACAATTACATACATAAGCAGGATGGGTGCTCACTTGCAGATCGCTGTCAGTAGTAAGTCAACTTGACATTTGAAAAGTGGCCTCCTTGGGGATGAATTGTAATGTTAATCCTGTCTATCACGTATGCCCTTCATGCGTTTGCAAGTTTATCCCAAACCATCGTCAGAATGAATAAATTGAATGTGATTAATGAAACAAGTTCATTCCGACTCACCACTGCCAGGTCATTGAGATCACTGACTGGAGCAAACTGGGACAGAAAGACCACATAGGCACTAAGAGCCAAAGGATCTGTCTCTATCTGGCATGCCTGCAGGTAACACATGATAAGTGGGAGAAATGCTGGTCATTGAGTACTGATAAAGCTATATATTATACAGTCATTAGCTATGATCAATCCACTGTTTTCCCTTCATGCTGCTGGATATTGCTGAGATTTTATGTGAAAAGTCATGTTAAGTAATTTTCTTATTGTTTCAAATACAATGTGTGCAGTTCTCATCATTTTTGTACTTACCTTCAAATAGTTTTTATAAAGGTTCACTCATTTTTGGCTTTTTCGCAACTTGCAAATAAGGCATTGTTTTTGGTTTGGGGGGGGCTTTTTCGCAATTTTGTAAAAAAAGGCATTACTTCTGTTCTGTTTGTTTTTCTTCGTCTTCTGCACAAAACCCATTCACTTTGTGCACGTGGATTCAATCGGGATGATATTTTTAGGGTCCAACCAACTCAACCGTTTGCCAACTCGACTTTGGACAACTCAACCGTCGTATCGTTGAGACAACTCAACCGTCCATGCAGGGAGAGATAAGTCGACCGTTGAGACAAGTCGTCTGTTGGGACATATCCCATGTGTTTTCTTGGGACCTTATAGGACTTCCCAGACACCAATTGAGTTCTTAATGGACTTTGCTTGATCAGAGAACAGGATTCTCAGGTAATCTCATAAAAGTTCATAGTCACAAACTCGGGAGAAATATCAGAGCCCTTCTCACACGCCCGGGACAAAAATTTGGTGAGGAGAACGGACAGCATGCAGCGGATACCCGAGCAAGCAGCATGGTCAATATCTTTTAAAGCTGTCTCCATCCACTGAAGATTCCTTTCTTGGAATACGTTGGAAGACTTGCCCCTGTTCAGAAAAATCTTATCTCTGGCTGCATCTGGAAACTCTGGCACTGAGAAATAGTGATCATAATCAACCAATGGGAACTTGAAAAAACGTGGACGGTAGCCTGAACTCCACCACTTGGTCTTAGCCAGTTTATCCATTGCATCTATGCATCTATGCAAGAGCAGTCAAGCGGAAACTCCGGGAAGAGAGGAGAAGATGATGACTGTCCCGGCAAACGATGCTTGAATGAAGGGCGCCCCCCGTCGTCAGTAGGTGATGGGGTAGGCAGCCCCAGAACATGTATCATTTTTCACTGTAAAAGACGTAAGCGAGACTCGGAGGGCAAAAGATCATTCACCGAAAGCAGCTCATCTTTATCTGGAGTTCGGCCACAAGCCAAAAATATACGATGAAAGATCAGGGCCAGAAGCAAAGCCCAACGTACGACCATCATCTACCGTGGGCTGAGCCAGCCACGTATGGTGAATGACACCCGGAGACTCAGCCGGAAAATCGCCCGAACTGGCTGGGGGCGGAGAATAAGGATCCGGATGTGTAGTAGCCGGAGCAGGAGGCAGATATTGCCAGACAAGTTCCGAAATGGACTCAGAAAGGGCCCGTAGCATATCCTTGGTCAAGGGGGAGCGAGAGCTCTTTAGGTGTTTAGAAGAATGTTGTGAAGAAGACGAAGCCATTTCTTCCCCGAGGAATTCCCTGACCCAGACAGCCAGAAAGAAGGTTGGCCAGAAGGAGGCTCGGGCTGCGTGTCTACAAGAAGCGGGTCAGAAAACCCCAACAGCGAAGCAAGCCTAAAGGTTCAGGGGGAGACAGCCCAGCGGGAGAAGGAGCAGGCGAGGCTATCAAAGGATCCTACCCAGGTACCGAAACAGAAGCAAACCATGCTAAGGGGCCGGAAAGTTCGCGAACTGCACGTCCGCATGCACTTGAGCATGCAACGAGTTAATGAGCTGGCCCGCCCAACCGGCCACCATTGTTGGAGACACGGAGACATTTACATACTGCATTCTTTCTGCAGACTGGATGATGTTGGAAAACACGATCGACTCGGAGATAAATTTACCTATCACGTTCTTTCCGCAGACCAGGTGATGTTGGAACAAAATGATTAACTCGGGGAAACATTCTTTCCTCGGATTTTATTACAAAATTAGCCATAACAAAATTCAGGTAACAAACACAAGTCGGTGGTCCCGGCGAAAATGTGCATGTTTCTTTGGGGGGAAATCTGTTACAGTGAAATTGCATTGTTCGAAATTCCTGTTACAATGAATAGTTTTTGTGAGGCCGTTGCCTTAAAAACCATTGTTGGCGACCCATTTGTAACGAGCGTTTACAAATTGAGGTGGAGAAAACACATGTGCAGTGCATCACACTGGTTCCCGACAGGCCGAACCGTTGCCAAAGAAGGCGTGAGGGAAATGCGGCAACCAGCCAATGTACAATTCCTGCCTAAAAGGGTCGCAAACGTTCCATTACATGAACTTTGTATACGAATGCAGCTCTACAGCCATGAGTTGAAAAAACACTGCCGTCATGAATTTTTCTGCAGGTTCATTCACAAAAATTGATCTCATGTCTATATTTTTGCTTTCTGTATGTATGTAATTTGAAGATGTATTGCTCACACCAGAAACGGGCGGTTTCCACAAAATTTCCAGCCCAGCATGCACGAGGCTAACCGCCCGCCTCTCCAGATGCGTCACAAATGTAAGGCACGAATCAAAAATCAGTGATTTTTCACATTGATTACAAAAATGTCAAAACAAAAATTCCCTCCCCAATTTTGCTAAAAATACGCCCAAATACGTTCACTTGACTACTCCCGCATCTCAAGAGCCCAACTAATCGCTGAACACTGAATTATTCATATTGCTTCGAAAAGACCTAGCGTATCCGCCAATGAGACTGTGCATTTTCATGACGTACATTTTGCAAGACATAGCTATCCAATCGCAATATTCCTTCATTATGTCATGCTTCTTCAGCGACTATCTCGCCCACGGGCGAGTGAACTCGGACTATCGATGCCATGCAGCTTGTGTCGAAAATCATAAGACAGACAGAAAATTAAATATGAATGTCTCTCTGTGACACAATTTGTGTTGAAAAGACTAGTTACATGGATGGGGAGGCTCCAGTTGATAAGTCTTCACATACTTGCATGTACACACAGGCCTACATGTGCATGCTGTTTAGCTTCATTGTCATCCATGGCGATCGAAAGCCTTTTCAAAAATCCCTGGATCGATGCTTTTACATGTACATGTATTTGCTTTTTTTAATCTCACATGCACATTAACCATGTTTTCATATGACAGTGAATTTTATAATTGTAAACATATCACAGTATATTTGATGAACTATAACCGAGAGATCTTTTTTGATATTACATCAACGATGCGGTCACATGTATGCACATACACCTGTACATGTACATGCATAAACGTGCATAGGTACAACAATGCACCGAAGCCATGCACTGTGTTCCACCTATAACGCATTTCAGATAGAATGAACGTTGTTGCACAGATTCCGTAACAATGAGAGTCAACTGTACATGTATGTTGACATGCAGTTTTGCCTTCAGGAAACATTGTTAGCTGCGAATTTTGTGAGGCGGGTGTTCAGTTTAGAAAATTTGCAGCGCAAATTCGGCACCAACTTACGTAAAACAAAATTACATTCACCTTCGCGCTAATTATTAGAGAGTTGGCAAATGCTGACCATAATCTGTGAACCTGCATTAAAGGAACCTGTATTACGGTCCATTATTCGACCTTTACATCTTGAATTTTGAGTTGTATTTCACAAGAATGAGATGTGAAGAAAATAATGTCACATATACAAAACTTTCGGGGCAAAATTGTACCCGTATTGTATATTGTGCTCGTGAGCAAATCACCTGAATGCTAACAATTGACAAACATGCATGATGCACCAAGGGTTTCCCTAATTGTGAAATTTGAGCTAAAAATATTTCTCTGTTAAGACACCAAAAGCGAAATATGAAAGTGTACCACATCAGCCCTAATCCCCTAGGCTCCTGCACTAGAAAGCATACTGAACTTCACAAAATCCAACAGATACATGTACTTGTCTATGTACTTGTACATGCAGGTCACTGTACCAAACCTGATAAACTCCAACAGAAATCAAGCACAGTCCAACAATTGGTATAGCAAGCCAGACACTGCACACAATGAACCCTGCATGTCCCAACTCACACAGAATCCAACCCCATCTCCCTGGGCCTTTCATCCCAACCAAGAAGTTCATCAGGTATGGTACCAAACCTGCGAAAACCTCACAAAACCTGCTGTTGGAATATGGCAGATTTGGGGTAGTTAGGGTTAGGGTACATCAACAATAGGGTCTATTGTTGAAAATAATGAGTCTCACCCGCCGGAGTGCAGTGGTAGCAGAAGTTCTAGCAGAGTCAAAGTGAGGGAGGGATGGCATATTTTTCAACAGCCATTCATGTGATGCCATGAGTGTAAAACAAGCCCAGGGAGGATCTTCCATTTCCATGTCTTCCTCCTTTGTGTCTTGATCTTCAGGCATGGACAAGACCATCATCAGTCCCTTTTAGATATGAAAAAAATGCAAACTGAATATAATCATGTACTATATAGATTTCAGTACAGATATAGCCCAAACCATTGGGCTGAGACTAACAGATTTACTGAAATATAAATCAGGCTAAATGAGTAATCTGGGAGTTTGGATATTGGGCTTGAATCTGAATATCAAGTGAGAAATTTGGGGGGCTCAACTCCAGTTTGAATGAGCTATAAATAACTTAAACATTAAACATGAATCTGATTTTAACATGGCATGTCAATGCTGCTTGAGTGTGCCATATAGACCCTTTTCACGAACATGACTGGATTTCACTAAATGGAAACAATACCTCCATGTGTGGACTGCCATGGCCACAGTGATCGTATATGTTCCTACAGGCAGCTTAACTACTTCGTGCAAGGCCCATTTATCCATGTTGATTCTGCTGTAATCTGTAATTTTTCATTTTTTCCAGTTTTCAAAATTCTTTAAAAATTCATAACTTCATTTACTGGACGTTTACACCTACACGAATGACTGTCTGGCTGCTACTCTAATCTGGTAGACACCTATTGATGCCAGAGCATTTCAGCCAGGCCTGCTGCCTTGTAAAAAATAATTTTCTTCTGTTCCCGGCACAGTGCACTGCTGTCTTTTCCAAATGGGCCAGATTAGCATGCAGTGGTTTTGTAATCGCTCATCACTGGAGTGATGGAGCGCTTTTGTCTCCAGTGGTAATCCACTCACACTGAATGCCACTGCCACAAACAGTGGTGTAATCTTTCAAAACAATGACGGATTTCCTCCGCTACTGACAACTGAAAAAATGTTGGAAATTCCCAGCAGCTTGATCTTTTGTTGCGAGTACGGTCTATTGTTACGAGGCCCAGCTATTTTGTCCAATTTCGGGTACCCCCGCAATGCGTATAAAGCCAACGTCTCCGAAACCAGGCTCCCCGGCAGCAAGTGGTTAAACCACGTACAAGCGCACGTGAGAATGCTACATGCTTGACTAGTTTATCTTGAATAAATAGGTTATCATCACTATCCACTCATTACCATTACAACACATCGCAGTCCGGCACAATTGTGACATCACAGGAAAACCATCTACAAAACTGATATTTAAAGTCCCTTCATTATTATACATCAAGTACATAGTTGAAAAAGTCTCAACTCAAATATTAAACAGAAATGGCAAAGAGTAAATAAAAGATTGGACACTTCAGTTTTTCAATAAGAAGTTGCCAATATGCAATATTATACTCACTCAATTTTCATGTAAACTTTACAAAAAACGATGATCTAAGAAGAATAAAGTAAAGTGCAGCATGTTTTGTTTTCTTCAGTGACATAAGTGAGCTCTGGTACTTTTGCCTGGCATTTCAGGTGGACAGGAAATGTTTATACACACATATGATGTAAATATGGTACATAAATTTCGCATGAAATACAGTTGAATCAGCTACATTGACCTTAGGCATGGAATCAAAAATACATTGACCGTTTGCATGCGTCGCATGCATGCGAATGCCAGGAATGCATTTTTTTGTTCAAGCCATCTCCACTTAACACGCGTGAGAACGGCCCTCCCGTTCCCTCACGTTCCTCTACAACAAAAGACCCGTCACGGTCTGTGCACACAGCAAGATGTTGTGGTCCCCATGGTGGCACAAAACCTTTGCGAAGAAAATTTTGCAGTCCCCGAAAAATTATTCCCACCTTTACAATTTCAGAAACAATCCAACAATTCCCATGCTTCACATATTTTAAAGGTCGAAATTTACGTTTAATTTGCTATTAACGTTTGGCAACAACATTTCAATTTGCCGTTTAACGGTTTAAACATTTGGCCAACACAAACAATAAAAGCCGCCGCATGTCAGCTCTGTTTCCGCCTAACAAGTGAATTTTTAATGCCTGTATTTAGCTCAACAACAATGCATTTGTGGTTGTCCGAGTGTATGCCGATGTGCTATTATTGTCAATCACTCTTCATAAGATATTCCTGTAGAGCTGGGGTGGCTTTATTCTAGAATTTTTTTATCATTGGGATTTGCTTAGCAACTTCAAAATAAGCATTTATTCCCAAGGTAGTTTTTGGTGTATTGGCGTCTAAGTCAGTTAAAATCATGACATTAAGTATTAAAAGAGCTGAATATTTTGTTCAATTCTTGGGAAGGGTATTTAAGGGTTTAGACTAGACTGGCCAGCTTTAAGACTGAGTTATCAAGAGATCCTATTAGTGTTTCGACTTTTGCAGCATCTTTTGAAATTAGAACTTAACCCAAATTGCATCAACTGAACTTTGTGAAACCTTCAACGGTTAGTTTCGTTTAAATGTCTAGGAAAATCTCTAAATGGATTTAATTTTTCCGTTGAAACGATTAAACGTTTAAACACCCGACCCTTACTGTCATGGAAAACTTTTCATCCAGAAATGTCCCAAGCAGCTAGCAGTTTGGTGTGGTAATTTGGATGACGAATGCAAGCGGTCGGTTGTCTGCCTAATGTCAGTTCCTGCGCACCTCGTATTGATGGGGAAAATTCTGGAATGCAATGGTCGGCGATGGTTCTTTAGTACAATACAATGGTAAAGTACTTTGAGGAAAAAGTAAATTTTAAAAAGTATTTATGTAAGACCCGTTTTTATGAGAATAATTAATTTCCCATTCATTATTGTTGACACCATGACAAAAATAAACGTAGCAAGGGAATAAAGTCGGGAGAGTATTCCAAATAAGGTCTCAGAGGAGCTTTCATCCAAGCAAAGATTGACAGCTGACCGACGTCATGTATTAAAATTGTTCCAGCAGACTTGGTTGTGTCTTCTGATTGACAGCCTGCCTCGGCATTTCTTTAAAAAATCAAATCTGTGGACCACGTGTGACTTTTTTTTCCTGGTGAAAACTATTAATTCTTCCCTCCTTGGATTTTTTTTAGCCAAACCTAGACCATGTGTGATTTTTAATTTTTCCTGGCACCGTGGCATTTTTTTATTCAGAGCATCCAACCCACAAAAATACACGTGCATTAATAATTTCCTCCACAGCATTTTTTTCCTAGCACCCAACCTACCAAATATATTAATACTGTCCTCCTTGGTATTTTCTATCCTAACCTAGACCACCTTTTTTTGTTGTTTTTTCACTCACAAAACTGCCCAATTTTCTTATTCGGAGCACCCAACCCACCAAAATATCAATTCTTCCCTCCTCAGCATTTCTCTATCCAAACCTGGACCATGAGGTTTTTTCTGCACCACAGCTCATTTTTTAATCAGAGGACAGAACATGCCAAAAATATATCAATTCTCTCCCCTCCCCTCGGCATTTATTTTCTATCCAAACCTTGACCACTTGTGGTTTTTATTTCTCCTGGCACCACTGCTTTTTTTTTCCTGAGCATCCATCCCAAGCCATCAAAATATATTCATTCTTTCCTATTTGGCATTTATGTTGTCTAAACCAAGACCATGCTTTTATTTTTTTCCTGTACCAGTGCACATATTTTCTCCTTATGCCGAGCACCCCATCCCTCAAAATATGTTGATTCTTTCCTCCTCGGCATTTTTCTATCCAAACCTGGACCATGAGGGTTTTCATTTTTTTTTGGCGAGACTGCACATTTTTTATTCCCAACCCCCCCCCATATTAATCTTTCCCTCCTCAGCGGTTCTCAAACCTGGACATTTTAAGCAAGAATGTATAAAATGTAAGAAGTCGGTACATCAAAGGGTCAGCATGAATGGTTGTAAGAGGGAGGAATAAAATCTTACCAGACCAAACACTCAATAATCAATTTTTATTTAGCCAATAGACTCAGGAACAGCTTGTGTGCATGTTCTTTGCATCTTTGCATCCTTTAGAGGGACAGACTTACAGGGATGCATGTTGTGCTAAAAACAGACTTTACATCCCTGTTTGTCTTAAAAATAGTTTATTAGCTGGCAGAGAATAATCCATTAAATAAAATGCTTATACTGACTTCAAACACTGTCTTTACCTTTGCAGCCAATGAGCGACTGGCTTGATGCTGTGAGCTAAGTCGTCTCAGGAAGTAGTCCATGACTTCACAGCATGTAGTAGCCTGGGAGTCTGGCCCACGCACCAGACTCTGAAGTCGAGATAGCAGCTGCTCTTGCTTGTCAATGCGCTGTAAAATACAACCATATACTATCATCCTGCTCAAACGCCTCAAACTCTACTTCCTGAACTAGTACATCCTACATTATACCAGCAGTTTCTTATAAAGTAAAATTCCAACTCCTTGGTTGAAGATGTGTCTGAAAACTGTAATTTACAAAAAAGTCACGACTGTTATGTTTATCAAACAATACATGAAGTGACTGACATTTTCACCCCAACTTCCTGCATGCAGTCCAAGGTAAATGACCACCATGATTTCCTCCTGTTACATTTGAAACCCTAACTAACTGCAGTTCCAGTAGCTTCTTCCAGCCTACCTGTTTCCTCTTGGCCTCTCCCTTCTTGGTTTCATCCCCTGGATCACTGTCTTGGTTATCATTCAACAGGAACTCACACAGACATTGCACTGGCAAGACATCCAGAGAACCTTCAGCAGAATTCACCAGTTCTGCCAGCCATGGCATGGACTGGGATGTGCCCTGTGCAAGTCCAACAAAGAAATTATCAGAATTTTGATGTATCTGACCATGGTATTTGATGTGAACTGAGACTGTAATTAGATAGGAAAGTTCAGTTTTTAGTTACTGTAACAATCCATAAGTCTTCTTTGAGTATATGTCAGATGTTTCCTCTGAGCTCTTGAATGTAACATTTCTCTATCATGTCAGAACAACTTCTGAGGTATGCTCAGTTTTAAGAAAATGAAACAACGTCATCCCCAAGTACCGTAAACCAGGTTTGCAGCCAATAGTAAATATTTCTGGCATTTTGAAATGAAGTGCAAAAGTTACATAGCACAGGTTTCATGGATTCTGACTAGTATTTTGACAATCAAGTCAACTGAATGATAGCTCAATGGGTAGAGTACCACAATGATATCCCCAAGGCTGCAGGTTCAGGAAACTGTCTCTGTTAAACTAAATATTGCTTAGTGAGCTTTGTCAGTTTTCAATTAAATGGCCCAAAAAATAGCTGGTATTCTTTACCTGTCTCTGTATGATATCCAGTAGGAAGTCAGGGGACCTGCTCCGGCATAGCATGTGACCAAGATTCAGGACCTTGTTGTAATGTTGGAGTTGCTCTAGTACATGTGCAGGTGGACGCCTGGCTATGCCACTGTGGATATGTTAGTAAAATACCACAATCACTTCATAGTCAATGACTAAATGCATTGCCAATTTGAGATGTTAACAGCAGATAAATGCATAGCTAAAGTTGGCAATGGTAATCAAATTATTGCAATTTGCAATTTTTCAAGAAATCAACTGATGATGGAAATACAATTCCCCCTAAAACCTCCAGGTAGATTTTGAAGGATCTGAGATGGTTCGGGGTATGCTAAACAAGAACAAGAAAACATTTGTCCTCATTTGGAAACAAAATTCAACAAAGGACAGACTAAGGAACGATGTCAAAAAGAATTTAATCGGCACGCCCCAAAGTGCCGAGGGCTGGCGCACCCCAGCTGGCTGACCCTCGGCACCACCGACCTGCTTAGTGTTCCTGCATAACAAAGGGTACAGAATATCCAAAAACGTATCTCCGTCCTCAGAATGTTTCTTCCTGCCTCATGATATTTTTCCCTGCATCAGAACTTATGTTTTGTCGGACTATCAATATTCTCCATAAGACTCAAAGTTTTCACTGGACTCAGAATACTTTCTCAAGAACATTTCATCCCAGAACTCAAGAATATTTTACAAAGCTCAGTACTTGTACATGTATATTTTCTCCTCCCCTTTAGTTGTTTCCCCGGCCACAGACACTTTTCCTGGACTTTAAAAAATGTTTGACCAGACTATGAATATTTTCTTAAGAGTGACTCGGAATACATGCACCTGTACTTTGCCTGGAATATTTTTTTCCCAGATTTGATAATATTTAACTGGACTCAATAAGTATTCCCGGCTTCAGAATCATAATTTTCCCGCCTCCCATTTATCCACGTTTTCAAATTATTTTCCCAGACTCAAGAAAAGTTTCACCAAACTCAGCATTTTCCCAGATCTTCCTTAAAACTTAATACGTTATATCCCAGCCTGCAGAATGTTTTGCAGGACTTAGATAATTTCTATCTGGCTCCGGTATATAATTTCTCACCCCATAATTCCTTTCCAGGCTTAATCATTTTCCTGGACTAAAAACCTTCACCAAGCAAACTTGTGATCTATTCCAAACACTGGAAATCCCATTTCCACCGCAAAGCTTTAAATACATTTCTTTTTTTCAAGTCTTAAGAGAGACATACATGAATCATGAATATAAAGCATAGTTCGCTTTCCTCTTGCACACAGTGATACATTTAAAGGATATACAGTCCAATACAGATAAAGACGATAATAATACAAGGTCATATTTATAGTAAGGAAAATTATCGGTCCCAAGTCTGTTTTGTTTTCCATTACTGATAATACAAGGTAGCTTTTATAACAAAGAAACTTATGAAGTCCCAGGAACTTTGTTATAACAGTGTATTTGTATTTGTATCTGTATTTGTTCCACGCAAAATCCTACATCGACTTAGTTTCCTTAATTTGCATAAATCTTTTCGGCAGTTCTGTCTTTCTAAACGTACTTCGCATTAAATATCTCCCTGCAATCAAACAGAAAACTGGTTGAGAAGCATGTAAGTTTGACATGACGGATTGTTTCTTAGCTTTTTCATGAAAATGTGTGATGTTTATAAGTATACAAGGTACAACTTCATACAATGAAACTTATTATGCATAATGGGATTTGGATTGTCATTTTTTCTACACAAATGAAAATAACACTCCTGGATTAAATGGCAGAAAAACACACAAGTAACTTCCAACTTTAAAAATGTCATCGACTTACTAGAAGCAAATGTTAGTGCCTTCAAAACATCACAAGTTCTACATTTTACAGGACGTGTTCAAGATGACTCCTCTGTTACTTCTTTCTGTGATCATCCTTGTCAGTCTTTCTTGTGAAAACATACTTACATCCAGCCTCACATCTACTTAGATTCTTGTCCTTGAACATGGGCATGTGCTCACATGGCAAGTCTCTAGTGAGGCATAAAGCCTCCATGAACGTGACAAAATGGCCAAGATTGAGATAAAGATTGATGAATCCAGATAGAGTGCCACATTTCAACGAGAGCTGTTACTCAGAAGACATCACTTGCACTAGCTGATCTGCGGATCATTATCATGCGTATCGAATGGTTAATATTGAAATGGTCGGGGATGCAGGAAAATGTGTTGTGCAGTCATGTCAAGACTACAAAGGTCCTCTAGGTGTTGGCATGCAAGTGAAGGTTGCCTGCAAGTCCGGCTTGTACCCAGCAAATACAGTCGACCTCAACACGAGTAAGTACATGTTGGTCTAGCTTTTAAATTCTTATGAATTTGACGGTTCAATTTGACCACTGTGGTTCTCAAAAATGATATAAATAATAATTTCAAGTGAGTTCACCTACTGTCACACTGTGTTTTCCGCAGAAAGATTTCTTTGCAACTGGCCTACATGTAGTTTTCATTCTTCGTCATTCTTTGATGTCTGAAGCTAAGCTAACTTTATACAAGTAACTGAAAAACATATTTAGCAACAAATAAAAGTTTACGTCTTAGTACAATCTTTGGATAAATACATGTACATACATATCTATCATGGATTATGGGCCAACTATGTTGATTCTGCCAGTATTGTTTGAGCGTTTTCAGAAGTAAAAATATCTCAGGGATCCTTGAGCTTCGATTGCATTGTATTCAATTCTTCTAATTATTTTCAGGTCCTAAGAGATCTTTGGAGCATGGCGATGAAAGTGACAACGACATGCCTCTCACACTTCTCAAGAAGCATCTTAGTTTTGATCTGCCAGCACCGCCAGCCAGGCCTCCATCACCCCCGCCAGCAAGGCCTGCATAACATCTGCCAGCCAGGCCGCCATCACCCCACCAGCACTGCCAGCCAGGCCTCCATCACCCCCAACAGCAAGGCCTGCATAACATCTGCCAGC